GCACGCACCTGCACTGACCAAACTACCCTTGGACGCCCAAATAATACCCAATCTACCGTAAAAAATAATCTCTAATAAAAAAAAAACATACACCTTAGATTGGTTTAAATGAACGGCTTAGATTAGTTCTCATGTTCCTATCTAATAATAAGTTCCTATACGATTGTTAATCTATATATGTATATATATATATATATATATATATATATATATATATATATATATATATATATATAGAATCGCACTTAGGTGCGAATGCTTCGCCCAGGAGTGAAATAGGAATGGATTCTGTCCGTCTACGTGTCCAGATCTAATGGATGAGAAACACTGATTTAAAAAAAAAAAAAAGTGCGGTGGCATTTTCGTAAATAATTGAACATCGAAGTGCAAGTAAAATGTATTACAAGTGCATATAAAATGTATTATAGGTGCAAGTAAAAATTTACACCGAGTATCAATACTAAGTGCACCTACAGATATAAGTAGTTGCATCTATAGTTCTAAGTAGTTGCACACATAGTTATAAATAGTTGCACCTAGGTGCATGAATGTTTGCGGGTGGTTTTCAGGGGTATTACAGCCCGTTGAACTCAGAACAATGAATGTTAACAAGGCAAAATTACATGCACTTATAGGTGAAAGTAGGTGCACCTATAGTTATAAGTAGTTGCACCTATAGTTATAAATAAGTGCACCTATAGTTATAAGCACACCCAAGTGCATGAATGTTTGCGGGAAGTGAATGTTAACAAGATAAAATTACATGCACTTATAGGTGAAAGTAGGTGCACTTGTAAGTGATTTTACTTGCACTTCGATGTTCAATTATTTGCGATAATGGCACCGCATTTTTGTTTAAGTTATTAGATCTGGACACGTGTCGCGCGCTAATTTGTTCCCATATTTCTTCCTAGACACTTATTTTTATTTCGTCAGTAAAGATATTTGGCGACGTATTTTTATTTTTATCGACGTTTAAAAAACGTCAATAAATATTAACATTCTTGTAGTGGTGACCCGATCTGACCCATCTCACGGATAAAGATTCGTAAGACGGTCCCACACAAGTATGACCCTTACTAACATCACATGCTTTAATTTAGAGTAAATACCCAAAATGGTCCCTCGACTATAGCTAAATTCACAAATTGGTCCTCGACTTTCAATTTCAACCAATTAAGTCCTTAACTTTGTAATTTTGACACGATTTGGTCCTCCATCTATTTGACCATTTGTTGACTGTGATTTTTGAGGATATATATGTAATTTCATGGTCCACCGTCAGTTTTTTAAGGTTCCGGTTGCATTTTCAGACCGCACTGTTACATTTGGATCCACTGTCGAAAGCAATCTACCAAATCCGATCGTCTTTCTTCATCCTTCCTTTGGATTCAATGTAGTTGAGTTCGTACCAGAGCGAAGAAGACGGCGTGTTTCCGAACCAGTGCAACATCATCCTGGAGGCCTCCACGTGCTCCGACGAGAGCTGAAGGTTCTTCTGGAGATCGTCGATCACGGTCAACAAACGGTCAAATAGATGGAGGACCAAATCATGTCAAAATTGCAATGTTAAGGACTTAATTGGTTGAAATTTAAAGTCGAGGATCATTTTGTGAATTTAGCTATAGTCGAGGGACCATTTTGGGTGTTTACTCTTTAATTTATTTAGGAAGAAAAAAGTGAGTTTTTATCTATTTCTCTTTTTTTTTCCCCAACAAAATTAAGACATGACGAAAATTTTATTTTCTAAGAGTTTATTTATCACTTTTTATTTTTAAAAAATTATCAAATACCACTGAACTATACATTAAAATATAATTAGGTCACAGTAATTGAATAAAGTGTAATGGACCCAAAAATAGGTTAAAATTGCACAATTATATCAAAATAACTAGCTTTCAAGATTAATTGTAGGTCTCCTTACTTATGCGGCATTTTTTTAAATACGCATTGGGTCGCATTTATGTATCTGATTTAGTTAACGATGATTGACTGAATTTATTTACAATTTAGTTTTTCATAATATTAAGTTTAATGTTATTTTTCAAAAACAAAAAAGTTTAATGTTAGTATATAATTTATTAAAATTCAAAGATGTTAATCGATACTAATGATTCTTATACCTATTACCACCTTAAAGTGAATGGTGAAGGGTGAATGGTGAATGCTTTGAGTTTGTACTATCCACAAAATCAATATTGTTCTTACACTTTTTAACTTTGAGATTGTACAAAAGTCACAATACTGTAATCTTTCCTTAAAATTTATATCTTTATAAATTATAGAATAAATACCCAAAATGGTCCATCGACTATAGTTAAATTCACAAATTGGTCATCGACTTTCAATTTCAACCAATTAAGTCCTTAACTTTGCAATTTTGACACGATTTGGTCCTCCATCTATTTGACCGTTTGTTGACCGCGATCTTTGAGGATATATATGTAGTTTCACGTGCAAAGCTCAAGAGAACGCTCTTGGAGGTGACATCGTTGTTTCGGAGGGAAAAGTGCTTCTCCGCTTGCTGCTTGGCGATCACGAGCCGGTTCAGCTTAGAGAACGCTCTTGGAGGTGACAGCGCCGTTTCGGGTGCTTCTCCACTTGCTGCTTGGGAATCCCGAGCCGGTTCAGCTTGCCTACGTCGCTTGGAGTCACGGCTTTCTCGAAGAGCCACTCCATGGATTTCGGCGATCTATTTATCAAAAGCTATAATCTCTCCAGCATGGGGTGCAGCGCTAGCAGTGGATTCAAATGTAACAGTGCGGTCTAGAAATGCAACCGAAACCTTAAAAAACCGACGATGGACCATGAAATTACATATATATCCTAAAAAAGTGCAGTCAACAAACGGTCAAATAGACAAAGGACCAAATTGTGTTAAAATTGCAAATTTAAGGACTTAATTGATTGAAATTAAAAGTCGAGGACCAATTTGTGAATTTAGCTATAGTCGAGGGACCATTTTGGGTATTTACTCTAAATTATATTAAAAGTACTATTAAACACAAAAAAAATTGCCAAGCACATTGTGCTCAGATGGCATGTAGTGACCTCTCCTATGTGGGATGTCATGAGATCGAGCCTCAGTGAGGGCGTTGTTGACTCCGATTCTCTTAGTGGCGGGACAGTAGAAAGTAGCGCGACTCTCTGTATTCTATGGCGCTTAGATAGACGAGTTGTCGAAGAAAGTAGCGCGACGCCCGGGACTTGGCGCTTAGATAGACGAGTTGTCGAAGAAAGTAGCGCGACGCGACGCGACTCTCTGTATTCTATTGCGCTTAGATAGACGAGTTGTCGAAGAAAGTAGCGCGAAGCCCGGGACTTTGTATTCTATGGCGCTTAGATAGACGAGTTGTCAAAGAAAGTAGCGCGAAGCCCGGGACTTTGTATTCTATGGCATTTAGATAGACGAGTTGTCGAAGAAAGTAGCGCGACGCGACTCTCTGTATTCTATTGCGCTTAGATAGATGAGTTGTCGAAGAAAGTAGGCGCCATAGAATACAAAGTCCCGGGATATTCTATTGCGCTTAGATAGACGAGTTGTCGAAGAAAGTAGCGCGCCATAGACTTTGTATTCTATGGCGCTTAGATAGACGAGTTGTCGAAGAAAGTAGCGCGACGCGACTCTCTGTATTCTATTGCGCTTAGATAGACGAGTTGTCGAAGAAAGTAGCGCGAAGCCCGGGACTTTGTATTCTATGGCGCTTAGATAGACGAGTTGTCGAAGAAAGTAGCATGAAGCCCGGGACTTTGTATTCTATGGCGCTTAAGCCCGGGACTTTGTATTCTATGGCGCTTAGATAGACGAGTTGTCGAAGAAAGTAGCATGAAGCCCGGGACTTTGTATTCTATGGCGCTTAGATAGACGAGTTGTCGAAGAAAGTAGCGTGAAACCCGGGACTTTGTATTCTATGGCGCTTAGATAGACGAGTTGTCGAAGAAAGTTGCGCGATGTGACTCTCTGTATTCTATGGCGCTTAGATAGACGAGTCGTCGAAGAAAGTAGCGCGAAGCCCGAGACTTTGTATTCTATGGCGCTTAGATAGACGAGTTGTCGAAGAAAGAAGCGCGACGCGACTCTCTGTATTCTATGGCGCTTAGATAGACGAGTTGTCGAAGAAAGTAGCGCGAAGCCCGGGACTTTGTATTCTATGGCGCTTAGATAGACGAGTTGTCGAAGAAGAAATTGAAGTTGTCGCCCAAATTCTTTTCCTTATTTTAAATGTCATGTAAACAAGCCACCTAAGCGTAACCGGGACACGTCATGACAAATGGGGTGGTATTTTTTATTATTTGAAATGCCATGTAAACAAGCAACCTAAGCGTAACCGGGACACGTCATGACAAATGGGGTGGTAACCTGCGAAAAAAGTCAATCGAACAAATTTTGCTGGTAAGTGTGGTTGATTACACTATATTTTAGTTCGTGGTGGAAATTGAGCACTTTCTAATAGTAAATGGGCCTATTTGACTCTTTTGTCAAAAAATTATAATGCTAAGGAACTGTGGCGAGAATAATAATAATAATAATAATAATAATAATAATAATAATAATAATAAATGACAAAAATGAACGGGACAATATCTCCCTAGACTATAGTGAAACTTTTGCACTGAGAAGTTTGAAGATAATGAACTATTTTGGCTTTGTTGGTGATGTCCCACATTTTGATTACATTTTGAGAAAAGGAAGGCATAACTTTTACAAAAAAGTTTCACAATTTGTACAAATGGAGTCGTAAACGGATTAAAATAGAATATATGAGCTAAAATTTTCTCCATTTTAACTCTAACTTGATGCCAATGCTAATGAATAATCAATATGATTTAAATTTCAATAATAAAAATTAATTTGGGTATAATAAAAAGTCATAGAACTAATTTTAGAAAAAGCCACCATTTTGAGAATTAACTCTATAATCACTCATAAAACTAATTTTAGAAAAGGCCACCGTTTTGAGAATTAACTCTATAATCACTCGTATAGTCGGAGTAGATTAAGCATCTCTTTGATGACAGACAGACACACCTCATCGTTTTGATAGATTTGTGTAAAGGTCGTTGCTTTCAACTTTTGGGGGAGTCCCAGGACACCTCACCAACACATCCACCTGCTTCTACAATCTACACCATCTTGGAATCTTTGGGCCCTATAGTTTGCCCATTTTCTCCAATCACATACCATTTTTTTTTTTCTTTTGCTTTTCTTCCCTCACCTACCTGTGTTTGAAAAAGGTTGAATCTTTTTTACCCTTAAATTGCAATGCCCGCAAATCTTTCTCACTTCTCTCGTTGATTAGCCATCGTCTTACTCCACTCTCCTTACCATTTAAGCAAGGCTGTTGGTAATGGAGGTAGTTTCAACTGATGGGTTTCGCGGTTTACATGTGGCTATGTGATGGGTAATTTCAAGAACCTTGTTTTCTATTTGGTGGCTATAAGGATTCTATGATGATCTTTTAAGCCTAGAGAATTTTCTGGGAAATGGGTTCGTACTGTTTATTGGATTTGGATAACAGTTTCTGTGAAATGGGAACTGCTTAGGCCTAAGTATGGCTATTTTGACTGATTAAACTTTATTTAGTTTGAAGGTTTCATAGGGTTGACGGGGTCTTTCTGGGTGGGTTTTATAACAATTGATATTCAATTGTGGAAGCTTGGTCTTATTGATTTAGTTGTTGATTTTGGTTATCTGAATGCACCTCTGAGAAACTGGCCATTGAGGTAAGCTACATTGAGCTTTCTTATTCTTGAGATCGGAAAAGAAGGAAATAGTATAGGTCATCCTTTTCAATTTCCTCTGGCCTTGGCTGTTGCTCATAGATGTGTATTTGTTTGTTTTAGTATTAAAGAAAGATTCAGTGTGGTGTTTAGATGTTGCCATCTTTTTTTGGATGACGATCGAAACCCTACAACCCTTTTGGATGTTAGGTAAACCCCGCCTTGTGAACTAGTCGGTAACAGATCACAAGGAAGTAAAATAGCCTAGGTTACCCGTAGCTGACAGGCTTAAGCTAAGGGAGCAAGGATTCAAACTTGTGACCTTGTGGTTACAAGTGTGGATCTCTTGCCATCTTAGCTGGGGTTACCCCGATATTGCCATCTTTAAAAAGAGGAAAGGGTGTAATTCTGTTTGTAGCGGAAAAATGAATGTTTGGATCGTGGCAGCTGCAGCTGGTGCGGGATATGTTGCTCAGCGTTGGAAGTCACGGAATGTTGTGCAAGCACGGGGAAAGGATTTGAAAGGTTGTACTTCCCGTGGAATGATGTCTAGGAAAATAGTAGACGAAGATGGTTATAGGATGAGGGAACAAGCGAGTGAAGATACTATGGTGGACGTGGCATCTATAATGACTATAAGTGGTTTGTCTGGAAATCTTGGAATGTTGGATATGTGTGGTAGCTGCAATATGCGTGCTACTTCAAATTACACAACTGGGTCCCCGAATGACAAATGCCTTCATGTAGACCGGGGAGAAGACCAAGTAGGTGGCAAAATTAATGTGGCTGAATATGATGTTTCTCTTCAACCTTATATAACAGATGTCCGCTTTTCTTATAGTCTCAAAAGAAACGGAAGCTGTCTTAGAAGTAATCAAACTATTGAGCATCTCATAAAGCCTCTATGTTATCTCGATAGCCCTTCATCTACACAAATGTTTAGGCCTTTTGTGGTTGCAGATGGAAGTCGAATTATTAGCAGAGAAAGTGGTGATTTTTTCAGTACACCAACCGGAGCTGGCTCGAAAAAGCTACAAAAAGATGTCATTTTGCAAGGTAACGGTGAAGTATTTGGAGTCCCTCGGCTACCCAATATTGAGTCCCCAAGAAAAGCTAAGGCTAATAGAGAAAATGGCCATAGTGGAAGTTTCAGTAGAAAAACGAATGTGGAAAATTGTCACTCACAAGGTAGTACTTTTAGTCGATTTGTTTTTATTCTTTACTTGTATTCTAAATGCTCTGAAATGTGTCATAACTCCGTAAGACTTTGGTGTTTCATGTTAACTGAAATTGTTGTGACTCTAACGACTTTGGTGTATCTCACGGCTTACCTTGCTATGTGAATTAGGATCATCGCATGGAGCGTTTCTTGTTTGTCTTGGAATATCTGCGGGCATATTCTCTTCATTCTTGGCACATAAGAAGGAGGTGGACAAATTGAATGGGTTGCTGAAACAGACGGAGAACTTGGTTCAAGATCTACAAGAGGAACTCGAAATGAGAGATTCATTAACTGTGAAAGAGCTTGCCACCGGGGATTATGAGTCTCAAGATACACATAATAGTTCCTATAACAACGAGTTGTTGCGTGTATTTTCCCCTCGAAAGAAGTTGAATAACTCATCTAAACATCGTGCTGAAGAATATCACTGTCGGGACTCTGAGGGTGAATCTATTAGTAAAATTGAAGCAGAGCTTGAAGCTGAACTGGAGAGATTAGAATTTAACATCAATTCGTTTAAACTGGAGGATGAATATTCCGATGTAGCTGAGGTAAGCACATTCTCTAATTTGTACATGCCAAGTAGCTCTTCAATTCAATTTTTAAGAGAAAATTTTTATTCTAGTAGAATCCAATTTCAATGTGTTATTCTATTTCAAATAGTTAGTTATTAGTACAATTTACTATATGATATAGTTCTTGATCCATAATGTGATGAAGTGTTAGGTGAGACGAACTGTGTTCACCTGTGGTCCTTCAACTTTTAAGTTAACCACCTGTGGTTTTTCGACTTTCAAATTTTAACTAGTCGTGATCGTTCAACTTTCAAATTTTAACCAATTGTGGTTCTTCTGAAAGGACAAATTTGCCCTTACTTTACTTTTGAAAGGACCACGGCTGGGTAAAATTTGAAAGTTGAAGGACTAGGGTGGTTAACTTGAAAGTATAGGACTAAACATGACAAAATCACTATACTCGTAGAACCACCCCAGATGGCATTAACTCTTTAAGAAATGGCATAGTTCTTGATCCATAATGTGATGAAGTGTTAGGTGAGACGAACCTTGTTCACCCGTGGTCCTTCAACTTTTAAGTTAACCACCCGTGGTCTTTCGACTTTCAAATTTTAACTAGCAGTGATCCTTCAACTTTCAAATTTTAACCAGCTGTGATTATTTTGAAAGGACGAATTTGCCCTTAATTTACTTCTGAAAGGACCACGGCTGGATAAAATTTGTAAGTTGAAGGACCAGGGTGACATGGTGGTTAACTTAAAAGTTTAGGACTAAACCTGACAAAACCAGTATACTCGTAGGACCACCCCAGATGGCGTTAACTCTCTAAGAAATGGTATAGTTCTTCATCCATAATGTGATGAAGTGTTAGGTGAGACGAACCTTGTTTCCCTGTTCAGCATTCATTTTGTGGTAGCGGTCAAGCATTCATTTTCCTAAGTGGAGTGATAGTTGAACTTTACAATTGCAAAAGACCAGTGGTGAAAAAAAATGATCACCTGGCATCAAATATGTAACCACAGGGTTAACTTGGCACGCTTCGCTCATTTGATACACATTGCTATATGGTTTGGCACCTGAATAGCTTTTCGTTTCTCCATTTCTCTTTTCATAATTTCCGAGTTCTGACAGCTCAAATGCTTTGCAGCTTGACCCAGAGTTCATACCAGATTTAGCTGAGGGAGAATTGCGAGCTGATGTGTTCAATTGGCGAACTGATCACCAACCTTACGCAGATCAGGATGGAAGTGGCAACTCTACGCCTCATTCGGCTAACTATGCTGTTTCGCCCAAAGAACTAAGCTTGCGGTTACACCAGGTTATCAAATCACAACTGGAAGAACGTGTGAGAGAGCTCGAGATGGCACTCAAGCAAAGCCAGAGGAAAGTTCGCTACATGGAAGTGCAGCACAGTTATCATCGGAGAGTGTTCTCTAACAGTGAGGCGGAGGAGTCTTCAACCCAAGGCAGTCCAGTCGCTAAAGATAGACCCGTAGTGATCAATTTAGCGGGAGAAGCACTCAATGCATATAACGAGGTTTTTGAGGAATTCTCTACGACAAATGAATCTGAAGACGATGTGATAGCATCAGGGATTGGGAAGATCAACCATCAAGATAACATGAATCAACATGATCACGACGTGGATTGGATTGAGAGTAGTATGCTTAGCGATGATAATGATGAGATGGATAGAATGTTGATTAAGCGGATCCTGGAGAAAGCCAGGAAAGGCTCTCCTGCAGTTTTGAATGCTCAGAAAGCATTGTTTTCCGGTGGTGAAAATGAGCATTGGTGATGCTTGATAGAGAGAAAGAGGAGACTTTTTGCAGTAGATAATAGATACAGTAAATTTGATTGTTTCCATTCAAATTAAAATTCGTTCAGAGTTGTCAGGAAAGACCTTTAGAACCACAACTCATCCTAAATCCTCTTCATGCTGTACATATAGAGTGAGTCTCTTGTGAGACGGGTTGATCAATATGAAAATATAATATTTATACTGAACAAATTTAATATTAATTAAGAATAAAGTGTTTGTTATTTTTAAGAGAAAGTGTAATGAAAAATGTAATACTTTTAAATTAAAATGGAAAAGTATTTCATTTTTATTTAAAAGTATTATATTTTTCAATATAAGTATTATATTTTCATTTTGACCTGATCCGTCTCATTGATTTTCTCACACAAGTTTTGGAGAGGGTCACACTTGTGTGAGATTGTTTCAGAGATAAGGATTCGTTGAGTCAGGTCGGATCAATATGGAAATGTAGTACTTATACTAAAAAATATAATATGGTGTTTGGTAAATGGTTGTTAGTTGATAGTTAACTGATTTGTTAGTGAGTTTGACTAGTTGATAACATTAGCTGGTTGTAAGAAAAATGTTTGGTAAATTAGCTGTTAGCTTATCACATACAATATGACTTTCTCAAAAAGCTTTGATTTTTTGAATTTTAACATTTTGGAGCAATAAGTTGTTACTAAAAACTAATTAATAAAACATTCATATTGATTGTTTAATCAAGTCAAATACCTAATAATGGTCAAATAAGTTAAAATTAGCTGATAGGCTAACTATTAAATAAGGCCAATATTAATTAGGAATAAAGTGCCGATTACTTGCCAAGACCTTGTGTCTAGTTGCATGAAATGATTCTCCCAAACGGGAGGTCATGGGTTCAAACTCCAATATTACATTGTAATAGAGTCAGTAATACTTTTGAGGAAAAATGTAAGGAATCATTTACTTCATTTCTCTGTTTTCTTTTTTCCAGTTTTCCATTTCTCTCGTTTTTCAATTTTCAATCCTCATTTCTCCAGTTTTTAATTTCTTCAATTTTCTAATTTCATTTTACAAATTTAATTTTTATATAAAAAAATTCAATACACTAATACTAAATACTAAATATACAAAAGGTAACAAAAGTCAATAAAAACATATTACTAAATAAATTACAACTATTTCAAGCTTTTTAGTAGATAGTTTGAGTACATAATAATAAGGATTATTCTCTCTCTCTCTCTCTCTCTCACTTCTAACCTCAAGCAGGGCCGGTTTTTAGATTTTTGTGACCCTGTTCTGGTAAATAAATGAGGCCCTATCAAAATCATCCACAATCTTTAAAACCATAATAATAATAATAATAATAATAATAATAATATTAATAATAATAATAATAATAATAATAATAATAATATTAATAATAATAATAATAATATTAATAATAATAATAATAATAATTAATAATAATAATAATAACAATAAGAAGAAGAAGAAGAAGAAGAAGAAGAAGAAGAAGAAGAAGAAGAAGAAGAAGAAGAAGAAGAAGAATAATAATAATAATAATAATAAGAAGAAGAAGAAGAAGAAGAAGAAGAAGAAGAAGAAGAAGAAGAAGAAGAAGAAGAAGAAGAAGAAGAAGAAGAAGAAGAAGAAATAATAATAATAATAATAATAATAATAATAATAATAATAATAATAAGAAGAAGAAGAAGAAGAAGAAGAAGAAGAAAAAGAAGGTGGTAAAATGTTAATGTGCGCAAAGAAAAAAAAAAAAACATATTATGGAATAAATTACAATTATAACAATAACAATAATAATAATAGTGTGCGCAAAAGCAGCAAGTCTTAAACCTTTGACCTCCAAATTGAAATACAATAACATACATTCTTACCATTTCTTCATGAAGCCTTTTAAGTTTAATTGAAGACTTTTATGGGCGGTTTGGTTCACGGAATAGGCCTGGAATGGCATAGCATTTCCAGTAATAGGCATATTCCTCTGTTTGGTAACCACTTGTATTCCCAGGAACATTGTTCCCGGGAATGATCTATTCCCCTTGCAAGAGGAATAGAGATTCCTAGGGGGGCCTTGGTATTAGGCTATTCCTGAGTTCTCAGGAATAACCTAAAGTTTCTATTTCCTATTTTACCCCCACCGCCACCCCCACTAGCACCACCACCACACCGCCGCTACCAACATCATCACCGCCACCATCGCCGTCGCCACTGCCGCTGCCACCACTACCCCACCACCTCCACCGCCGCTGCCACCACCATCCCACCACCGCCAACCACCGCCACAACCGTCGTCGCCGCCGCCACCACCACCAACACCACTACCCCACCACTGCCACCACCACTACCACCACCATCACCACCACCATCACCATCACCACCACCATCACCGCCACCGCCGCCGCCGCCACCACCACCACCACCATAACATATTTTTATAAGGGTATTTATGTCTTTTAAAACATATTTCATTTCTATTCCTTAAATCAACCAAACACTGTAATATAATTCCTAAAGTCTATTCCTTCTGCGAACCAAACAATAGAATACAATTCCTATTCTATTCCTTACCTATTCCATTCCTTATGGAATAGCATTCCTATTACCTCAAAATTCATTCCATGAACCAAACGTGCTGTTAGTTTTTATTTCTAAACTGGCAATTTATATCCTGCACCATGGCGCGCATTGCATTGTGCGCCCTGATGCAAAACGATGTCGTTTCAGATTTTTTTTTTTTTTTTTTTTGAAATTTCGCTACCTTGTGTTCGCGGTTAATTTTCTGTAAAAAAAAAAAAAAAAAAAAAATCTCATGTTCAAAAATGTACATAATTTTATACTAGAATACACATAACTGTATACATGAATATACATAATTGTATAACAAAATACACATACTTTTTTTTTTAAAAGATAATACATATAATCTAACATAATACATAATATACATAAACTTTTAACATAATAAACATCAACTCTTAACATAATACACATAAATTTCCTGTTTCGGATGTACATAATTGTATAAAAAAGATGTACATGATTGTATAAAAAATGTACATAATTGTATAAATAAATACACATAATTGTATAAACAAATACACATAATCGCGTCAACTCCCTACATAACTTACCAAAACGACGTCGTTTTGGGAGGCGCGGGGCGCACAGTGCTACGCGCGCCGTCGTTCAGGGTATAACGATTGTTCTAAACTAGCTAGGTAAAATTAAAATTGGGCTTCTAAAATTTGAGGCCCTGTGCTGCAGCCCAACTTGCACAGCTCAAAATCCGGTTGTAACCTCAAGGACGATTTACTGTAAACGCGTGTTGCTATCATTTTTCCATTTGGAGAACTCTGAAATCCATTTATCCAAAATCATAGAAAAAGTGGAGAAGGGAGAAAAGACAAGGAGGATTTATTTTAGTAAACAAATTTTCCATTTTCTATTTTTTCTCTTCTTCAATTTTCCATTTTTCTAAAAAATCATATCATCCAATTCTTCACTTTGGTATACAACCCCTAATACTTTTACATAAAATGTAAAAGTATTACATTTTTCTTCAAATATATTACACTTTTCGGTCTTTACCTTATAAGCAAGGTTGACAAATGTTTGTTAGTTATTATAAAAGAAAATATAATAATTATAAGCAAAAATGTAATACTTTTAAATTAAATGTAAAAGTATTACATTTTCTTTTTCAAAAGTATTACACTTTTCTATATAAGTAATAAACACTCGATCAACCAGCACCTCAAGGCAAAGAGGCTATGGCGAGCATCATGGCCGACCTCGAGGCACGAGGTCGCGACGAGTAGGGTTGTGCAAACCCGACCCAACCCGCAATATCCGCCCGATCCAAAATCCGAAACCAAGGCATCCGACCCGCTCAGCATCCGAATCACCATATCCGATCAACATGGCCAAACAACGTCGAATAAGCGAGATCGGATAGGGTTTGGTTTTCTTTTTGTATCCGATCCGTCTGATTATCCGAACTTTCGTAGGGTTAGGGTTTCCTATATACTAAACGACATCGTCTAGCCTAAGTATATATGTATGTTGATGAGTTGAACGCACCATTTGCGCAGTCGCTACTCTCTCTCTCTCTCTCTAAGACTCCTTCTTTGAGTTCTCTTTACTCCTCGTCTCCTCTGATTTCTCTCTACTCTCTGAGAGTCTAAGACTTTGAGTTCTCTGTACTCCCAGTCCTCTCTGTAATCTCTACTCTCTGTTAGTCTGTTGTCTCTTCTCTACTCTCTGTTAGTCTGTTGTCTCTTCTTCTCCAATAGATGATAGTCTGATACTCTGACTTCTCCGATACTCCGATAGTCAGATTGTCTGATTGTCCGATGGTCGGTGACCGTTGGTGGTGGAAGCCATTCTCAAGTTCTCGTGGTCATCATTGAGTAGAAGCCCTTGTTCTCCAGAGAATATTAAAGGGAAACCAAGTAAAACACAAACCCTAGTTTTTATTTTTATGATTTGTTGATTTTATTCACTGCATGTTCTTATATTTGTGTTATATTATGAATATGTTGTGATCTATTATTGTATTATGGTGGAAGCTGTTGTAATCTCAAACCCTAGATTTGTAGTTGTGATTTATTCACTGTATTGTGATATATGCTGTAGGGCTGTGTGCAAATTCGATCCAACATGCTAATATTGCATTACTGTGATATATATGTTCTGAACCTCTGAGTTCTGATATATTGTTTCTGATATTCTGATTTCTGATATAATGGTGGAAGCAGTGTGATTTTGTGATATTATGCGATCTATTGTGATGTCCCTTTAAAAGTTAAAGGCTTGAATGTGAGATTATCAAGTTTCAAACTTGAAATTTCCATTTATTGGTGTAAGCCATTAACTGAAATCCAGATAATGATGAACTAGATACAGTTCCTGAATCTGGATTTCTTTGACTATGTTTATGGATGTATGACCCTTAACTGAATGTAAATATGTAAATATGTAATTGTGAAATTGTGAAATCTTGATAAATGATGACACAAACAAGTGTCTGAATCTTGATTTCTTTGTATGTTTATGTGATTGTTGTCTTTTCCGAGTACTTGAGTACTTGGATTTGTTGGACCTTTAACTGATGCCCATCATTTTAGATGGAGAGCATCAATGTTCTTGATTCTGGACCTCAACCCTCAACTCCAGAGGGAC